CTGAGACATGGTACAATGAGAAAAATGACTGGGACATAGCAATACCAGGGTACTCTTATATAGGAAAGATAGGGAAGGCAAGAAAGGGGGAGGGGTGGCCTTGTATGTGAAGGATAGCATAAAATCTAGCCTAATAAAAGTTAGTGAGGCAAACATAGAGTCCGTTTGGGCTACGTTAGAATTTGGTAATCACACATTAACTCGTGTAGGTGTGATTTATAGGCCCCCTGGACAAATTGAAGAGTTAGATAATCTATTAGTTGAGGAAATAGCTAAAATGACAATGAAGGGGGAAGTTATCATCATGGGTGACTTTTATCTTCCTGATGTAAATTGGAAAACAAAATTAGCTAATTGTGCCAGGAGCACACATATTCTAAACTCCCTACTGGAATTGTCTCTAAAACAAGTTGTTGAGGAGCCAACTCGTAAAGAGGCCATACTAGATTTAGTGTTAACAAATGGAGATTTGGTATCAGATGTTACTGTAGGTGAAAGTTTAGGATCCAGTGATCATCAGTCAGTGTGGTTTAATATAAGAACAGTGACTGAGTCACACCACACAAAACAAAAGTTTTAGACTTTAGAAAAACAGACTTTTCTAAAATTAGAATATGGGTAGAGGAGTCATTATCAGACTGGAGCAATTTAAATGGAGTCCAAGAAAAATGGGATTATTTAAAAGTTGCACTATTGAAGGCAACAAAAAATGTGGCCAAAATAGTTAAAAACAAAAAGTTAGCATTTAGGAATTATAAAAAAAACCCAGAGTGAGGGAGACAAAATGATCTATAAGATTAGGCAGAAAGAGGCTAAGCAAGTTATAAGAGCTTCCAAATCACACACACAAGAGAAAATAGCACAGTCAGTAAAAAAAGGGGATAAAACATTTTTAGATACATAAATGAGAAAAGAAAAGTAAAACAAGGATTAGTTAGATTAAAAACAAGAAGGAAGGTATGTAGAAGAGGATAAAGGTCTAGCTGACTGCCTCAATGAATATTTTTGTTCTGTATTTACAGATGAAAATGAAGGAAAGGGACCTCAGTTGAGAAAAAGGATAAATGAGTCATTTATTACACGTGAGTTTACAGAGGAAGAGGTTCTATTTCAACTGTAAAAAGTAAAGACAAATAAGTCAATGGGACCTGATGGAATACACCCAAAGCTATTAAAAGAGCTTAGAGGTGTACTAGCAAAACCATTAACAGATTTATTTAACCAATCATTGTTAACAGGAGTAGTCCCAGAAGATTGGAAGTTAGCGAATGTTGTGCCCATTTACAAGAAAGGTAATAGGGAGGAGTCGGGCAACTATAGGCCAGTAAGCCTTACTTCAGTAGTGGGAAAAGTGATGGAAACCATGTTAAAGAATAGGATTGATGAACATCTAAAAACACATGGATTTCAAGATCAGAGACAACATGGGTTTACTTCAGGGAGATCATGCCAAACTAATCTTATTGATTTTTTGATTGGGTAACTAAAATAATAGATCAGGGTGGTGCAGCAGACATTGCTTACCTAGATTTCAGTAAGGCTTTTGACACTGTTGCACATAGAAGGCTTATCAATAAACTGCAATCTTTAAGTTTGGATTCAAATATTGTTGAATGGGTAAGGCAGTGGCTGAGTAACAGACAACAGAGGGTTGTAGTTAATGGAATATATTCGAAGCTTGGACTTGTCACCAGTGGGGTACCTCAGGGATCTGTACTTGGACCCATTCTCTTTAATATTTT